CAGCCGGGGACCCCAGGCCTCCTCCGCGCCGCGGGGCCGCACCTGGAGCGCGCTGGGCCGCGCCGCCCGCGGCTCCTCCGCGTCCTCGTCCTCGTCCCCCGCGTCCGCGTCCTCCGCGCCGGCGGCCTCGCCGTCCTCGCTGCCCTCGCCGTCCTCGTCCTCCTCCCAGGTGGAGTCGCAGTCGGGGTCGTCCATGCTCGGCGGCGCCGGGGCCCGCGCTGGAGGCGGAAGCGAAACCGAAAGCGGAGGAAGCGCGGGGGGCGGGGCGGCGGGGGAGCGGCCCAGGCCCCGCCCGCGTCCGCCGCAACGCTCCTCCTTCCCGGGACGCCCGCCCCGCGCCCCTCCCCCGAGAATCGCCAACGTCCGCCCGGCAGGACGCCCCTCGCCCAACGCCCACCCCCGTCCCAGGATGCCCACTCAGGCGGATTCGCCCCGCCCAGGCTTGCAGGGATGCCCACCCTAGGAGATCTTCCCGAAAACGTCCCCAAAGGCTGCCCGCCCCCCAGAGGACGTCTCCCCGGAAGATGAGCCGGGGTACCTCGGAAGGCTGTCTTCCTCTCTCCCCGCAGAGAATCCCCCCTTCCCAGAATATTTCTGTCCCTCCCCCCAGGATGTCCCCAGCCGAAGAATGTCCCCTGGAGGATAACCCCTGGAGGGACCGTGTGTCCACAGGGGCCGGTCTCCCTAGGCTGGGTGTGTGGGGGTCCCTGTCCCTCTGCCAGCTGCGGCTGGGGGCCACACTCCGCTCCTGGAAGCTGCGGCAGACTCGTCCCTCCACATGGCCATTTTCTTTTCGAGGCCACCAGGGGTCTTTCTCTCCAGGGTGCCGAGTCTTATATAAGGCAAATGACGTGGGCAATCTGTGACTTCCTTCTCCTTTACCATCTTCTCTCAGTTGTAAGAAGGCTCCTGGGGGGAGGACCACTCCCCGCCTGGACTGCCAGGCGGTCACCCCAGGGACTGTTCAACACAGGGGCTGCCAGATTAGTGTGTCCTTCGGGCCCTCTCCATAAGCATTGCAGATCTGGGGTGACACAAAGTCACTTTCAGCTGCAGTTTCCAGCACCGTGGGTCCCTTGCTCAGCCATGTTTGACATCTGCTGGCAGATAATGGCAAAGTTGGGGACCTTTTGAAATAAAAATCAGGAGCGGCTACCCCAGATAGAAATTCTTCTGTAGCTACTATACCACTTTGTTTCAAAAAACTTGGGTAAAACTAAATCTGGGTTTTGAAATTGGCCATGAGAATAGCTTATGGCAGAGTTGTCCCTGGAATGAAGGGGGTGGAAAGGTGGAACAGGCCCCGCCCAGCACCCGGGGTACACTGCTATCTCCGAGCCTCGCAGGCCTGCTGGCAGGCTTCAAGCTGCCTGGGCCTGGGAACCGGTGACAGTCATTGTACTGTGTGCCAGGGACAGCCGTAAACGGAAGTCTTCCAGTCCTGGCCATGAGTACAGGTTAAGGACTCTCTGGGTGCTGGGTGCTAACCTTTGCTGACCTGTTGACCGTTATTAGCAGGTGCAGTCTCAGCTGGCTGGAACCTGTGTACATGCATCTCACTTTCTAAAAGGACAGTGGTGATTCCTGAAGTTTGGGGGCTCTGGCCATTTCTGCAGATCAGCTTACTGCAGTGGCCAGGGTGGGTTTCCCGTGGAGCCTGTGAGTGAGCTGCCTGACCTTCTTGTTAGATGATTTACAGCTGGGATCTGGTTACAGTATCAGGGTAGACGGGGGCCTCTGATGGGGACACTGATGGGTGCTGGGCAGTTGGATAGGGCTTTGGTGGTCTGAGACCGGGGTGGGCAGGATGCCCACTGCCCCCCAGAAAACAGAAAGACAGGCGTACTGGATGTGGATGACATTGTTCCAAGGGACAGCGTTCCCACTGCTCCCAACTGTCGGCAGGACTACAGAACCACTTCTCTAAAGCGTATCAGAGACATTGCCCAACTTCCGTTTTACAAATGTCACCACACCGAATTGCTGCCTCAGTACTTCTGTGTATTGTGTGCGCGTGCACGTGCAGAGCTCCTGTGGGGGCGCGCCGACCCAGGAAGTGTGGATGCTGCTCCGGGGACCGTGTGACAGAACTCTTCCTCCGAGCAGCCTCTGCAGCCCAGTGATGCCTGTGTGCCTCCGCCTCCAGACGGGGTTGCTGTCAAGAGGGGCTCTCTGTCACTCCACAGACACAGCTCCCAGGCACCCAGGAAGGGCAGTGGCCTCTGCACACACAGCGGGTGATGTGCCCGGAGTAGGCGCTGCTCACAGCTAAGGAGCCCAGCAGAATTTTGCTTGGTCAGGGGCTTGGATTACGGCCTTCATGTCTTCAGGCGAGACCAGCTGGCAGCCATGTGATTTGACCCAGCCACGCCCTGTCCTCAGTCAGCCAACCAAGCGGGGAGCCTCGGGGCTGCTGCCCTGATACTCAGTGTTTATTTGCTGTTATTTGGGGAGCAGTGGAGTCCAGCCTCCTTTCTCAGTTACCCCTGGGTCGCCCTAGGCGGGCCAGGCAAGGGGGTTTAGATCAGAGCCACTTTCAGCCTTTACTGAGAGCCCTCACCTGCAGCTAGCAGTCTCTGCCCTGGGTGTCCTAGGCACAGCGCGGCCGAGGCTTCCAGGCTCAGCATCAGCAGCGGCTTCTGACCCATTCAGACCCACTGCACGTCTCTCCTCTACAGCAGCCTGAGTGTCCGTGCGCAGGCCAGCCTCATGCCAGCTCCATTTTCCTTTTCAGACTCAGGTTCAGTCTGCACCTTCTACGTGGCATGGTGGGGTGTGCGTGACGTAGAGCCCGAGGGTTACTGACGGAGCCCCAGGACAAGGAGGGGGCATGCACGGTGCTGACCAGGACTCGAGGCCACATTGCTCTCCCCCGACACTTGGGAATTTGACATGGCTGTCCCACCTGCCAGCAGAGTGAGCTGGGCCTCCCCACAGGGAAGCCAGGAAGCTCACTTGAGCCCATCAGGGCTGCACGCACCGCACTTCACCCCGGCCAGCCTCTTGTCCAGAAGGGGAGGCCCGGGGCGGGGCTGCTGCTTGACTGCCTGGTGGGCTCTCGCTGTGGGCTCTCCCTTTCTCCTGGAAGTGCAGCAAAGTGTTACGATCATCGAGATGAGGCAGGTTTATGAATTCAGCTTTCCCAGCGCATTCTGAGGTCACCCGAGGTGCGGTTTCGGATGGAGGTTTAGAACAGGGAGCCTGGGTAGAGAGCAGGGACTCCTTCCGGCCGTCGAGTGCCAACCCATTAGTATTTGCCCCCCTTTCTTCCCCCTCCCTGCTTCTGGACTGCCTCGGGGCCAGGCTGCTCCCCCAACCGAGACTCCAGGGCAGGACCTATCACAAAGCACTGACTGAGGCTGACCCCGAAGGAGCGATGGCATGGGCAAGGGGGCACCACCCTCCCCTGGCTGCAGGGCGGAGTGTTTGGGGTGTGAGTGGAGGAATGCCAGGCAGGCTGTCCTTCGGTCTGTGCACGTGGGGCCCTCCCGGTGCCCGCTTTGCACGGCAGGCTGTTACTGCAGGGCTGGAGATTTGTCCCAGCTCTACTGAAGGGACACACAGGCCCCCCCAAACCCCGGCAGCTGTTCTACCATTGGGGTGCAGCTCAGGCAGGCCGTGGACCAGCAGCTTCACACTGGGTGAGCGCATGGCACAGGGTTCCTGGCTCCGCGCCTTTTGTGGGTGCCTTGTGATCTGTGTCATGGTGAGGAACTCCAGGGACCCATGGCCAGGGATGTTCCCAGGCGGTGGAGGCAGCTCCATTGGCAGAGAAGCACCGTCAAGCTGAAGACACTGGGGTGTGACGGCCGGCCGGGACGGAGCTGGTCTTGTCGCTCACAGAACGCTGGACTTCCCTGTGACCAACCAGTGGTCTCGCCTCCCAGCAGCGGCAGCCGCGTTCAGCAGGGAGAAGCCTGAACCTCCGAGGGCCCACACCCTTTTGCCCTGCTAACATTTTGTATTTGAAGTGCTTGTCACAGTCCACAAAATAATCACTCAGAATGTTACCATTTTGTTTATACGTTGTATCAAGTGAACGTTAACAAGTCAAGTGTATACTTTAGTTACAAATCTTGGAAAAATAAAACTTCCTACAGGAGGAAAAGTTAACTTACTTTGGTATCAAATTCACACACTCCGGGTGGGATTTTTCTCTGCTTTAATGTTCACAGTCACACAAAGGTGGCATCTCAGTGGCACTGGGGCGGCTGCTGCCTCCTCACCAGCCCGACAGCTGCCCGTCCTGCCTCTCACCCATTTGGTCTGTTTGCAAGTGAGGAGATCATACAAAAATAACCGCTACAAATTCTCTGTATCTGGCATATAAAAGCTGACCAAAAAGTATCTCTTAAAGCAAAACATCTCAGAAAAAATACAACACAGGGTTAACTTCTGTAGTACTTTGTTCATATAAAACACTAGTAAAATAGGCTTCTTAAAAATTAAATAGTGAAATACCAACCAAATTATATACATTGTTACAGTGCAAGTGAATGAGGCAAAATATCCAGTTCTTAGTTTCCCAGGAGGAGGGGCCGTCAGGGCGCGGCACGGGGGCTGACAGGAAGGTCGTGTTCTGGTGTCACAGTCAGTGCAGAGGCTTGCAGCGGGACAAACAGATCTGAGCCACGCAGGGAAGACCAGTGGCTCCCTCGAGGAAGAGTGAGGTCATGTTTTTATTGCTTGTTAATCAGAGGTTTTCCCCTGGCCCAGTGCCCCTCTAGGCAGCCTGGGTCCTGAATGCTGCAGCCCATGTGGAGCTGATGCATGTCGCCAAGAAGCCACGGGGAAGCCACGCTGCTCCAGAGAAGAGGACACGGCTTCAGAGCCCTTGGTGTCGGAGCCGGATTGATCCCGGCCCTTCTAGTCCACCAGGGTCCCTCACGGTCCAACTGACGCACACATTTTCCCGCTGATGGCCGTGTTCACCTGAGAGCCTAGGGTAGGCGGGGCTCACAGCACTGGGACGATGTCACTGTGGCCTGGGGGTGGCACGGGACCCAGCCGACCCCCTCGGTGACCAGGCTCTTCGCCTGCCTCTCTGCTGCCGCCAGGGCCGAGCGGTCTACGTGCGGCGCCGCTTGGCCGCGCTGGGGCTGGAGGGGTTGCTGTTGGCAGGTCAGGACCTTGTCGGTCACCCGGCTGCGCTTCCGCTTGTCTGCGCCGTCTTTGCACCCCAAGTCCGAGGAGCTCTTCTCTTTGTCTTTGCTGGATTTTTCTGTTGCTTTCCCCAAACTCCCTGAAGATGAAAAAACTGAGAAACAAAAAATCACTTGGCTAAAAACAGAACATCCAAAATCTTATTTTTGTCTTCCTGTTCAGTTAAAACATCCGCATATTCACACATGACCCTCTGAACCCAAAGGCTTCCTCCTGAGCTGGGGGCACCTGGCGTGGGGGCTGCACAGGGGCCCGGTCCTGCTGAGCACCCCCCTGCCACGGACACTGCAGGAACCACTGCTCAGACCCCGTCCCCCAGCACGGGGCCTGCGCTCAGCTCCTGGGGACACGGTGCTGCGGAACCTGCCCGGGGCCTCGGCCCCGAAGGCTCTACGCCGCCCTGACTGCACCCTGCCCGGGGGCGGCCTTGCACCAGGGCGGGCTGAGCTCCATACTCACCATCGTCAGCCCCACTGTGGGGGTCCACGTCTTCCTTCATCTCCTCTTTCATCTCCTCTTCGATCATCACTTTTCCTGTGGAGGAGACAGCTGGCGTTCACCGAAAGCCCACGGTGGTGGCCGACGCTGGGGGATGGTCAGGCCGGGGACTGCTCCGACGCTTGCTGCCCACACAGGCCGCAGCTTCCGTCCAGCCACTGCTCTCAAACAAAGTCCTCTCCAATCCCGGAGCTCCCAAGACCACCCAAGCACAGGTGGGGCGGGGTCTGTGCTGGACCCACACCTCCCTGGAGGCCCGGGGTCCTCACCCTCACCTCCCTGCCCTTGGCCAGCGTCTGGCCTTTTCTGATTCCCAAGCCCAGCCTCTCCCGAGTCTCACCTTCTCGGACCTCCTGAATGATCTCTTCTGGAAGGACGAAGTTCCTCTCTGAATTCGGGAATGGAAGAATCTCAGACTCGTGCTGATGTCCAATAGAGTTTGGTTTAACAAACAGAAGAGGGGCGAGGCGGAGGCGGAAAATAAAAAAAAGAAACAAAGGAGAAAATACGGTTGCAACAAGTCACTCCGGCCACGTCACAGCCACCTGGGGAGCGGCCAGTGAGCGCGCAGTGCTGTGCTGCGCTGAGGCTGCAGTGGGTGGGGCCTGGGCAAAGGGCATTTCTTTTTGTGGGTAGCACCGGCTGCGGCTGGGCTTTCCAGAGACTCAGGGAGGGCAGGACCAGGGGAAGCAGCCGCAGGAGTCAGGAAGAAGCACCAGGGTGGCATTGCTAAGGTGGGCCCTGAGGACGGGTCAGCGCCGGTGACGCACCCGTGGGCCCCGCCTGCCCTCCACGGCCTGTGGTCTCACCATGAGACTGCTTCCCCCAAGGAGGAGCGCAGTGGGCACAGTGACAGCCCCGGGGAGAGGCTGCAGGTGCCTCGAGTTCCCCTCCGCGTGGCAGGAGCCCACGGACACTGAGGGTGTTGGCTGGGATGCCACAGTCACAGAACAGGGAGAGAGGCAGAGCAGGGGCCCCCTGAGTGCCCGCCAGGCACTGCCCTCCTTCGGTCACACAGACCAGAGGGAGACCAGGAGCCAGGCAAAGTGGAGCTGGCAGGAAGGGCCCTGGACTAGGAGGCAGATTCAGGACACAGAGGCTTCCGCTCGGCAGTTTGGGTGCCATGTGGCGCGGGCAGTCAGGCCACATCTGTGCTCCTCAGAACCTCCTGGGCCTGCTGGTCAGCCTCTCGGGTGGACTCCAGAGGCTCTGTATTTCATCAAGGCTGGATGACTCGGACCTCAGTCACATGGAAGTGCCATGGTCCAGAGAAGGTGCCAGCCCCATGGTCTCACGCAGTCCTTACTGATGCCACAGGCCACTGCGGGAGTAAGGCACAGGGCCACCATCCTGGGGCTGAGAGGCCTGCTGGTCCCACGTGGTCCCTGAGTGTCATGTGGGCTGCTGTGCTCATCTGAGCCAGCACCGGAGCCCCAGGGGACATTACGGGCCTTGGAGCTGTCTTCCCCAGAGACAGGCACAGAGCTGCACCCATCTCTCCAAATCCCAGTGTGGGAGGTGTCTGGGGACCAGGCACCCTCTCCTACAACTGAGAAGCTGCTGACCCCAGGAGTTCGGTGACAAGGGCCTCTGACTCTGGGGTGGTTGACAGATGTGCTCTAGGCAGGAGTGGGTCCAGGTAGGATCTTGTGAGCTTAGCGGTCAGCTGCGCCCGGGCAGCTAGGCACTGGTCGCCCAATGCAAATGCTGTACCAGCTCAGAGCGTCCTCAACGCAGAACGTGGCAGCCACAGGGACGTGAGCTCCCACGGCCCTTCCTCTCCTTACAGTCAGCCCTCTGCACAGCTGGCACCTCTGTCCCCTTTCTGCAGCTATGACAAGGAGACCCACTTCACTCGTCCAATGTCAGTGGCCACCATTCCCTGTCTCGGCGGTGCCTCCCCCTCCTCCTGGTCGCCTGCCCCGACCCCCACCCCACTCTCCAGCTGCACCACCTTCTGCTGCCGAGGGGCCTGGAACACCCCCTGCCTCTTCTGGCCACCCTGCTTCCTAGTTCACCTGCCAGCCTGTCACACGACGCCAGCTCCGAGCTCTATGAGGACTGGAACTCCACTTGTCTGACTCCCAGAGAAGCCACCAAATTCCCCTTGGTGTGACTCGGATAGGGTCATCCTCTGCCTAAAGCACTTCTGGGGCCTCCCAGGAGACCGGCACCGGCCAAGGGCCGCGGCCTCCGCTCCCTCCCTCCCGCGTCTCAGCTGCCCAGTCATCTCCCTGGAGGCTCTGGCCCAGCACCCAGTCGAAAGCCGCCGGCACTGGTCTGTGCGCCCCATGACAAGCCCTCGAGCCCCCGCAGGTGGCCCGCTGCTCCGTCCAGCTGACCCCAGCAGGCACGGAGGGGCCTCTGCCCAGCCCAGGCTGAGCCTCAGAGAGCGGCGTGCGGGTTCGCGCCCCCGCCGGCGGCACGAGGGGGGCGGTCGGGCTCACCAGCGCCTGCATGTCGTACATGGTGCTCAGGTGGTCCCAGATGACCTTGGAGGGGACCTGCCGCCCGATGTTCTGGCTGAACTTGTCCCGGATGCAAATCATGTGGAAGTGTCGGTTCACACCTGCGGGAGGAGGGGCGGCGGGACGGCGGTGAGCGGGAGAGCGGGACGCAGGGGGGCCGCTGGGGCGGGGCGGGCCGGGGCGGGGGTCCCGGGGGGCGGGGGTCCCGGGGGGCGGGGGTCCCGGGGGGCGGGGGTCCCGGGGGGCGGGGGCGGCGGGGGCGCCACGGCCCGGGCTCGGCGGGGAGCGGGTGTCGCGGGTGTCGCGAGCGCAGGCCCCGCCCCGCCCCGCCGGTTGCCCGCCCCGCCCCCACGCGCGTCCGCGGCCTGGGCGCTCACCTACGGGCTTGTGGCCCAGCATGGCGTGGAAGAGGCACACCTCCACCTCGGGGCTCCACACCACCGTCTCCTCCGCCGGGCTGGTGGCCGCCTCCCCCGGGCCCTTGTCGCCCGCGGAGCCCCCGCCGCCCACCTCGGCCTCTCCCATGGCCGCGGCGCGGCAGCGAGGACCCCCCGGCGGGAGCAGGCGCGGCCACGGGCTCCGCGCAGGCGCACTGGGGGCGGGCGCGCGCTCCGCCGGGCACGCGCTCGGGCGCTCGCGGCGGCGTCCGCGCAGGCGCAGCGGAGGGCGGGGCCCTTTCCCGCCGCCCCGGCCCTGCCCCGCCCGCGCGCGGTGCCCGCAACGTGCTCCCCGGAGAAACGCCGTAGGAAGAACAGCGCAGCCAAAGAAAAGTGCGCGCTACAACGAAACCGGCACAAAAGTGCAAAGACGACCCGCGGGCGGGGAGGAAACACTTGCGAAGCCTGTATCGATAAGGAACTTCCTGGCAGAGTGTAAATAACTGTTTTTTTTTTTTTTTTTTTTTTTTGAGACAGAGTCTCACTCCATCACCGGGCACCAGGCTGGAGCGCAATGGCGCGATCTCGGCTCACCGCAACCTCCGCCTCCTGGGTTCAGGCAATTCTCCTGCCTCAGCCTCCGGAGTAGCTGGGATTACAGGCACGCGCCACCACGCCCCGCTAATTTTTTTTTGTATTTTTAGTAGATACGGGGTTTCACCATGTTGGCCAGGATGGTCTCGACCTATTGACCTCATGATCCGCCCGCCTCCGGCTCCCAAAGTGCTGGGATTACAGGCGTGAGCCACCGCGCCCGGCCAGTAATTCTTATAACTCAATTATAAAAAGACAGTCTAACTATAAAACCGCCACGGATTTGGTACACATTTTCCCGAAGAAGGTGTATAGATGGGCTGGGCGCGGTGGCTCACACATGTCATCCCGGCACTTTGGGAGGCCGAGGCGGGCGGGTGACCTGAGGTCTGGAGTTCGAGACCAGCCTGGCCAACACGGTGAAACCCCGTCTCTACTGAAGATACAAAATTAGCCAGGCGTGGTGGCGCGCGCCTGTAATGCCAGCTACTGTGGAGGCTGAGGCAGGAGAATTCCTTGAACCCGGAAGGCGGAGGTTGCGGTGAGCCGAGATCGCGCCATTGCACTGGGCAAGAGCGAAACTCCGTCTCAAAAAAAAAAAAAAAAAAAAGGCGAGTGTGGTCGTTCCTCAGACTATGGAACCGTCTCCCTAGCAGGCGGCAGCTCCTAGGCCGGGACCCGCGCCCAGCGCCCCAGGGTGCTGTTCCCGCAGCCGCGAGGCGAGCGCCGCCCCCAAGCCCGGGGCCGAACGCGCAAGGCGCGCACGGAGCGCGGACCCCGCACGGCGCAGCCGCGTGCAGCGGGAAGGGAGCGCGCCGGGACTGCGGCGGCGTGGGTGCGGCTGAAATGCTGTCCGAGAACTCAGACCCCGAAATGCACGGCGAGGGAATCCATTCACAGGAGGAGCCAGAACTGGCAACTCCGGGGGAATAGAAGGTCCACGCGCGGTTGCCCGTGGCGGGGGAGGAGGGAAACGCGAATCACTGCGGTGGGCGCCGGCTTCGTTTTTGTTCGCTTTTGAAACCGAATCCCGCTCTGTCGCCCAGGCTGGGGTGCAGTGAGGCTCCCTCTCTCGCCCAGGCTGGGGTGCACTGGCGCGATCTCGGCTCACTGCGACCTCCGCCTCCCGGGTTCAAGCGAATCTGCTGCCTCAGCCTCCGGAGTAGCCGGCATCACAGGCGTGCGTCACCCCCGGCTAATTTTTGTATTTTTAGTAGAGACGGGGTTTCACCATGTTGGCCAGGCTGGTCTCGAACTCCTAGACCTCAGGTGACCCGCCCCGCCTCGGCCTCCCGGAGTGCGGGGGTGACGGGCGTGAGCCTCCGCGCCCGCCGGGCCCAGCGTCTTTTTAGGGAGGTGAAATGCTCTGGAATTTGGTAGTGGCCACGGTTTCACCTAGCAAAACCCCCCGACTCGTGCGCTTTAAATGGCTGGACTGCGTGGAACGTGATCTCAATCAAGCTGCTACGAAAAAAACAAGACCAGAAACCCCAGAGTTCCCGCAGAGTGGGGCCCAGCGCCCGGGTCTGCTCGCGGGTCCGAGCGCCTCCTGGGAGCAGGGCAAGGGGGGTCCGGCCCTGCAGGCTTTGGCCGCCCGCCTCCGCCTTCCCGCTGCGCAGCCATCGCTCTAGGGGATCGTTAACCGCGGGCCGCCGTGGGAGCCCCAGCGCAGGGCGGGGCCGGGGCGGGGAGAGGGGCGTGGTCGGGGCGGGGCCTAGGCTGGGCTACGCAGAGCGGCGCTGGGGAGGGCGGGTCGGGGGCGGGGCCGCCGGTCAAAACGCGTCTACGGCGAGCTTAAGGCGGTATCCAATCAAGTCCGCTACGGCCGCCGGCTCCGCCCTCCCCGCCTCCGCCCCTTTTCTTCTCGGCCACGCCCACCACGGGCCCCTGGCCGGAGACCACGCTGCGCAGAGACTTTGCCCTCGCGGGGTGTAGGCTCGGGATCGGGCTCCGGGTTCGTTTCCTGGCTTGCCTCCTCCCCGCCGTGTGACCTGGCGAAGCTCTGAGCCTCTTTAGGGTTCAGTGCCCTTCGTGCAAGGCGCCAACAACAGCCCCTTCCCTGGAGGTCTTGGTGAGGGTTGGGCGCTCTGCAGGGGGCCCTGGGCCTGGGCCGGGGCCTGTGCCAGCGCGTTCTGGCGTCCTCCTGACCAACCAGAGCTGGTACTGGTGAGCGCAGCCCCTTAGCCCGTGTAGGCTCTGGTCAGCCTCACCTGCTGGCTTGGCTGTCTGGGACCTGGGCCTCAGCTTCCCCATCTGTGCAGGGGGCCGCTGGTGATGCCGGTGCCAGCCATGACCTGGTGGAGATATGGCCCAGTGAGACCTCGGAAGGGCCTAAGCCACTGCTGTCACGTGGGACGTCCTCTTCCCTGGAGGACTGAAAGCAGCCCACAGCCGCTTGGCACACAAACGCTCCGGAGACAGGGCCCTCATCATTACTCATCTCCTTACTGTTCCCTGGACACCCTGGGGTCCCTGTGCCTCCCCTAGGTAAGGATTCCTAGGTAAGGGTGCACAACTGATTTCACCACGCCTGCCTTGATGGACAGATTCCGCCACATGTTTCTGCTGTGAGAGTACCTGCCAGGTACTGGCAGTACCTGTTGAGAAAAGATGGCATAAAAGGGTGAGACAGGGCCCGGACCAGGAGACCCAGGGGTGCCGAGCCTCAGATTGGACCGGGTCGACGTGGAGATGCACTCGAAGCTTGTCCCAGCTGGGGTGGTCTGCCTGCTCTAGTGGGAACCCGGGCAGGGCTGCTGTCCCTAGAGCTCGATGCTGGGCAGTCATCATGAAATATCCGCCTCCCCCACATGTCCCCTTCTTTCTGAGGCAGGTGACGCTGTCACACTCGCTTTGAGGGGAGCAGCCAGAGATGAGTAGAGTAGGCAGCTGCCTGGGCTGAGGGCAGAGCCAGGAATCAACCCTCAGAACCTGCTCCAGCAGACCCCTGGCCGCCTCCCTTCCTGGCCTGCCCTAGTCCCTCTGGAGCCTCACCTGGGCTCCCCTGCAAACCACCCTGCAGCCCCCTGGGCTGCAAATGCTGCCCCCACCCCTTGGCCTGTCTCTTCCCTGGGCAGCCTTCACTCTCGGCTCCAAGGTCAGCACCCCAGCTGTGAGGGTCCCATTTGGTCTCTACGGCCACACACCTGTGCTTCTCACGCAAGGGCTTTGTGGGATGCTCTTTGCATGTTTGTCATTCTGAATCACGGCCAATCATTTGTTCAGTGAGTGCCTCCCCTGCCAGGCCATCAGCTGGCTCCGAGGGCCCAGGGCTGGGTCTGGTGTGGTGCCACTGTCCCCCACCTCCCCGGCAGGGCCAACACACAGCAGGTGGACAATGACCATTTGTGGACTGGCTAAGTGACCTACTGACTCTTCCCTTACTCATGGGGATGGAAAGAATGATCCTTTCTATGATCCCTGTAGCTCAAATTTCCTTCAAAAGATGGATGTGGCTTCCCAAAATCCTGATCCCAGGAACAGAGGACTTGGATCGCAGGTGAGAAGCACTCAGGCCCGGGAAAGGCTTGCCCATGGTCAGCGACACACAGGCCTTCCAGGTTATATATCAGTCTTGTATAAGTCTGGCTAGCGTGAATCACTCCTCAGATCAGCTCTGGGTTCTGGCCAAGTGGAGTTTCTTGCTTGGGGAGCTGATGTCGTTCTCTGGAAGGTGGTGAGCACTGCTAACCAGAAGGTGCCCATCTCTCAGCCCCATGGGGATACCTGGTTCTTGGCCATGAGGCAGGTGCAAGGGAAGGGGTGTTTAGAAGGCTTTGGTCAAACATACCCGTGTGTGGCCACGTGCCTGTGGCCACAGTGTCCTCCCTCTGGCTGAGTCTGGGACAGAAGTGGGCTTCCACTGCAGTGAGATGACGTGGCTGGTGGGACTGCTCCCTCTGCCACTCATGCCAGAGACCCCAGACACTGGAGAAACAGCTCAGCCTTCGGAGCCGGACGGCCTCTGTGGGTTCTGTCCCCCCAGGTCCACCTGGTCCACCACGGGCCATCCGTCTGGGCCTCATCCAGGAAGTCCACATCTGGACACTGAGCAAAGCTCTGTTGTCCCCTTCCCTGGGCTGAGCGGCCTCGTAGGCGAGGTGCCGGGGACTGCATGGCTGCCAGATGAGGTAGGGGGTGTTCTGACCGAATACCACAGAGACGGCCTCTTCCTGCCTGCGTGCAGTGTCTTTTATAGAGGCGCCTTTTCCACACAGCCTGACATTTCTCATCTCCCCACGCCTGTGCTTTCTTCCTCTTCGGGGGAAATTCATGCTGCTAAGGTTCCGATCCAATTATTTCCCTTATGACCAAAGCAGCCTGCGGTTTCAGAGAAATTAGAAGTTGGGCTTCGGGGGAACCGGACTGAAGCGGCCTGGCCAGGGTGTCTCGGGCGCAGCCACCAGGCTTGCCGCCAACACATCACACCTCTAGGGGGCAGGTTCCACCCACCGTTCGGACCAAGATCTTGCTCCTGTCTGAACCCTGCTGGAGAGGAACCAAGTGGTCCCTGGGAACGTGGCCACCACGAGCGGGGCACTCTCATCATTCAGGGAAGAAAGTCCGATGCTTCACATGGGGCATCTGAAGACTCCCCAAGCTGACCGGAAGGCCGATTGGACGTGTCT